TCTAATGTGAGTTAGGATCATGCCTCATTTTGAGTGCCTATAATTTGGCAAAAATGGTTCCCTGCCTGTTTTATGCTATTTTAGCAAGACAATTTATTTCTCCACTTTGTAATCCTTACTGTACTTTTGCAGTGCAGTCATTTGTTTGCCAGTCACTAGCAACAAACAGAGAATAAAGTCAGTCAATACCATTTAGATAAGACACAGCTGGTTATAAAGCGCTAGCAGAATCCTTCTACTAGTTATGCTTTGAATTTAGTCATCAGCACGATCTGGCAGACACTGTGTAATTCATCCACAGAAGGTGCTGGGCACTGTGGTCATGTTGGAGAGGGTTGTTGAGTTTGCAGGAGTGCAGAGCACGTTCCCCCACCATGGGCAGCACAGCAGCATCTGCACCATGGAGACAGGGCTGAGCGGGATCAGACTTGGCAGCACACAGATAAGGTACATCACAGTGAGCCTGGCTGGTTGCAGGAACACCAACACGGAGGTTTTGTTCCAATTTCAGCATTCAGGATGTCATATCTCCTGTTTCATGCTGTGTGCCGGAATGCTCCTTCAAGTGCTTTAGAGATGAGATTTCCCAAGACCTCAGCCAGATTTCATTCCTTCACTTATGCTGTTGCCGTGTACAAATCACCTGCATTTTCCCCAGAATATGAGAATATTATTTCTAGCCTACATACCACACACACACCTATAATCCCTAAATGCTGACAAAAGTTATCTGGCTCATGCCAAATTGTTTAATCATTATTGTAGCCATCAAGCATCGTCCACATCTGCTATCTGTGACACTGAGTGCTTGCCCTGGTCCCAGGGGGCGTTGCTTGGCATGGCTCTTGTCAGCCACAAAGCCAATGGATTCTGTGTTAATGCAGCAGGGGGGCCATTACTCAACCCTCCTCACCCCAAGAGTGCCACACCGAAACCCAGTTTCTTTCTGAAGTTGTCCCTCTTGGAGCAGGTAATGATTAGATTGCTTACAGTGTCCAGAGCCAGCTGCACATTTTCTGGAGATGCATTGTTGGTGAGAGCCACCTGATTGCCCATTGAGCACAGCTTTTACCTGCAAAGACCCACTCGGATAAGGGGAAAGAGAGCTGTGTCAAAGAGACATAAAATCAATGCAGCAAAACTTTTCATTTTCAAAAAAAAGATACTGTTCCTGCATGACTTTGATAAAATAGATGCAAGCTTCCAAAAAAAAAAGAGATGCAAGCTTCCAAAAAACAAATGCACACTTCATGGTGTAAAAGCCCCTTCTGGTGGGACTTTGAAATATTCCAAGCACACAGGACAGGGGGTTAGTGGCACTGAGGGGCAAGGTCAGCGGGCATTATGGGATGGGTGGGGGTTGGACTTGGTGATCTAAGAGGGCTTTTCCAACCATAATGATTCTACGTCTCTATCAAAAGAAGTGTTGTGTTACTTTATGGGTGGAAAACATTGGAAATGACATTGGAAAAGGCTGTAAGTTTAAAAACAGGAACTGAACCAAGATCTCTGGAGCCCTAAGCTGCTGCATAAGCTCAAGCCCACCCTTCCTTCAGAGTGTGCATAACAAGACAGAGTCATCCCCTCCTCATTACTTCTGATGTTTTTATGGGAATATACTGCATTAAATTAAATGTGTTTGCAAAACAAATATTTCTGCAGAAGTGCACATTTATTCATTCGTAGGACCGTGACCGTTTCTCTGCTTGGTAAATAAAATTAGTTTTGATTCTTTTTAAATTAGAAGACAAATCAATCATTACCCTAATGGAAAGGCTCTTTCAATCTCATGAGTAAATGCTGCACACATTTACAAAATGTATTCTTCACTTCTTTATGGTAGATTAATAGAATCCCAGTCCTACTGCCCCACTCTGAGTCAAGAGAAGAATTGGAAAGAAATTCAGGCACTTTTGAGTTTTTCCACATTCTGATGCCATTCTTGCAAGCAGTTAATCTTCAGTGCTTCACCAAAATGTGTTTCCTTTGAAACCAATGACAAGAGGATCACTGGCTTCATGAGCAGAGATCATGCTTCCCAGGATCCTTAAAGGCTTTCTGCTCATCGCTTGTGGTCAGAACATCAAATGGGTCACTGAAGACTCCCAGGTGATTAGCAAGGTCCAGCCCTTCATCGTGCCCTGCAAATCTGCTATCACACTGAAATCAAGGCTGATTTGCTTCACTTTGGCTCAGCCCTGAAGTGAGTGAGCTCAGGGCCAGCCTGGATGTGCTGATGGACTCAGAAAAGATGCAAGCAGTTTTGGAGGTTGTTTCACTCAATGCATAAATCATTTATTTTGTCCAGAGTGGCTCTACACCTATGAGGACAGTCTCTTTAGCATAACCCTAAAGAACACTGTAGATTATATTCAGTGCACCGTGACTCCATGCAATACATGCTGAACTGACTTGGAATCAGAGAAAAGAACAGGGAAATTTTGCTGGGTACACCAAGTGCTTATAGTTTGCAATAAAACTCTTCCTCCATGGTAAAAGATGATGCTTTTGTTAGCACTATATTAATGTTTATGAAGCATCTTGGCATGAAACGCTGTTGACTTTTCTTTCCAGCATGTTATAAAATCATCATGGAAAGAAAAACAGAGCATCCCTAATGCACCAGATTACTGTTACACTTCTATCACCTGATACTGCACTGTATTAATGTGATGGAGCAATAAAACTCTACATCTTCATTTATCACACCTCTTTAGCTCTCTCCCGTGATCAGAGAGGTTTGAAATGAATATTAGCTTTTCCCTAAGGGATGAGTAAGTAGCTACCCAGAAATCTTCGATATTTCTACACTGCCAATTTTTGCTCAAGTGTTGGTCTTGTGAGTATTCTTCAGTTCTTCCCTGTTCTTACCTAATCTACTGAGGAGTTTTTAATTTTCCTTGGTTTTCAAGTTTGTTCCATCATGCACTTGTTGTTATAATGCTTAATCTCTAGGTGCATGATTCATTCCAGTAATATGTGTTTATTTTTAAAGTAGCACCCACATAAACCCTTGGTTTGAAAGATGTTTAAAAGAGGCATTCGATCCTCAGAGGAAATGCATTTGAGAGCCATGTCATAGAATCACAGAATCACTGAATCGTAGGTGTTGGAAGGGACCTCTGGAGATCACTGAGTCCAAACCCCTGAAGTAGGTGCTCCACAGCAAGTTGCACAGGAACGCATCCAGGAGAGTTTTGAATATCTCCAAGGAGGGAAATTCCCTCTCCTCTCTGGGCGGTTTGTTTCAGGGCTCTGCCACTCTCACCATTTTTCCTCACGTTCGTGTGGAACTGACTCCAGTTTGTGCCCAGTCACTGGGTGACACCAAACAGAGCGTGGCCCCATCCTCTGGACCCTCACCATCTAGATAGTTGTGAGCATTGATGAGATCCCTCTCAACCTACTCTTCCCCAGACACATAGCCCAGGGCTCTCAGCCTTTCCCATCAGGACGTGCTCCAGGCTCCCACCATCTCTGCAGCCCTACACGTGACTCTCTCCAGCAGTTCCTTGTCTGCCTGGGGCTGGGGAGGCCAGCACTGGATGCAGCACCCCAGGTCAGACAGAGGGAAAGAGCACCTCCCCCACCTGCTGGCCTCACTGTGCAATGCCCCCCAGAGTCCCATTGGCCTTCTTGGCCAGCAGAGCACACTGCTGGCTCATGGCCAGATGTTGATCAACTGTTGATGAACTGAAGCTTGTGATGGATGAAGGATGGCATGGATGTACCGTGCAAACTGCATTTCTACAGAGCAATACTGATGTTGTGCATGCAAGGCAGCCTCCCTCTGTGAGAGCATCAATTATTACTGCTGCTTGCAAACTGATCTGTGAACTAAAATGGGTTTTCTAATTCTGTCGCTGGAGAAGAACTTCTGGCTAATCAACTGGAGGCAGATGGAGTTGGCAAAGATGACATGAAGGCCTGCGTTAATTACTCCATGTGTCTCAAGAACTGATAAGAGAGTTGATTTATACCTTGAACAGCCTGATAATTCCAGAAATAATAAATTTTGCTTGACTTAATTAATCAATGTATGACTGGTTGTGCTGTAATTTTGAATTAAAGTTTCTGGTATAGTGCAGGTGCACGGAAGATGGGCTATTGCAAGAAGCCCAAAAGCCCCTGTGGTGAGGCACAGCAGGCTCTGCATTTACCCCACAGCTGTCTCTCATGGCATCCAGTAATTTCTTGTGCTTCGGGAATGCAAGTGTGACTGAGAATGACAGCACGGAGAAGGAAAATGCTGCATATGCAGCCAACAGCACTAGGTAGGAGTGAGAATCTAAGAATCAGTGAATCCTATGAGTGTGTGCCTGGTGTACTCAGTCCTTGCCCCAGATTCTGCAGTAATCTCAACACTGAGGTTCTCCATCTCTCCATTCTCATCCATCTTTCACTGTATTGCAGCCCTGAAGGGATCTGTGTCAGTTTCATGTTTGTTAGGAGTTTTTATGAATAACGTGCCTTATTTGTACACTGGCAGGCTGATATTTACTGCTGGTGCTGTGGCCCAGCCATGTCCCCTAGAGATGATAAGGGCCACCAAAGTTTGCAAGGAGTAGCTGAGATGCTCTCTGCTTTTGTCTCACTGCCCTGCATTCTATTACTCACAAATAAATCTCCTTGCAGGACCATTTGACCTGCATGGGTGACAGCAGTGGCATAAAGCAATTTCTGATGAGATTAAATGCCTTTTGCCAACATTAAAACAAACCTGTAATTTGTTTTCATCCTTTCACTGTAGAAGATCCCTCACTTAACAGTGCAAGTGTTTTGGGTCAGCTGTGAGGCAGGAGTCGGATCTGCGTCCTGCTCTTTCTTCCCCATCCTGCTGTCTGGTGTCACATCAGTCACTTGGGGTCTGTTTATCTGTTGAGATCTCAAGCACCATAAGACACAGACTTCGATGTCTGAGTTGGACTGAGGTTCCCACATTGCCCCCATCCAAATAAACTCTATTGCATCCACGATAAGGTAAGCCTCAGCTGTATCTTTTTGTTTGCATTGCCAGAAAATGCTTGAAGAATCTGTGCAATAGAAAGCCAAAAAGGGGTTGAACTTGTTTTAATTTCCGAAAATACAGCTTGAATTCACATCCATACTTACATTCAGAACCAATAAATATACACAACAGCTTGCCAGCACTTCACGATCATTTTGACTTACATAATAATAAAGTGGTTACATTACATTTTATATGCAGTTTGGTTTAGAATGTGAAAGTATTATGAACATGTTGAATCCTTTCAACATTTTTCTCCTACTTTTTTTTTTTTTCATTATTATTCTTTCTTGCTATTTGAAAAACTCCCAAATACTTTGAGGTTTATACGGATTAATAACAGTAAAACAGTGCAAGGGGACTACACTCTAAAACAATGGATTTTACATAATTTCAAGATCAGTGCTGTGACCTTTTTTGTGTAGAACTTTGTTGAGGAATAATGTACTTTCTTTTAAGAGATCCCCTTGAAGACTTTCAAAGGTATTTTCACAGGAATTATTTGAGCTGTTTTCTGTTTTGAGCTGACCCCAGCCACAAGCTCAGCTTAACGAAGTAGTTAGAACAGGTTTAGTGTTGTTTTGGATTACTGAATTAGGACAAAGATGGCAGTGTCTACCAGTAGATCAGTTCTCTAGAGTACAGGAAGCAGTAACGTACATCTGACTGCCTTAGTTGAAACAGCACGAGAACTTCACACAGCTCAGTATAACCCAGAGCACTTTTAGCTGTGAAAGGGAAGGGAGTGAAAAGAAGGCTCTGTACATTAATTGGAGCTGGTGGGCCTCCAGATTTTAGTTGTGATTTCGTCCTTCCCTTAAGTCTCAAGTTCTCCAGGTCTACAAGTTCTTGACAGTCCCAGACCATGCCCTCACACCTTGCTAGTCTGCATGTGTCCATTGAATTCAACATTCCTCTGGGTTAACATTGATTCCTGCAAGCGACTGCTGTTCTCTTGCCTATGTTCAATGGGGTCACCATCCTCTATGCCATTGCCCTTTCGGAGGCAAAGGACTTTCTGAAAACTCTGCTTGAAGTTGTCAGAAAGAAATCCATAAAGAATAGGGTTGGCACAGCTGTTCGCATAGGACAGGACCACCACGAAGAAATACACCCCCACCAGCACAGGGTCTTCTGGCAGGATAAATATCAAATTGACAATGTTCATCATGTAAAATGGGAGCCAGCAGAACACAAAGACAACCACAATGATCACCACCATCCTGGTCACTTTCCTCTCTGATCTCCTGCGCCTTGTAGACCCAACACGAATCCCTGAAGATTTGACTTTAATCACAATCAGCAAGTAGCACAGACAGATCACCAACAAAGGACCAAAGAACCCAAGGACAGACGTGTAAATGATGAACGCTGCAGACCAGATGTTGACAGGCTCTGGCCAGTTCATGTTGCAGGTGTGAAAGTCTTCCTGCACATCTGAAAAGATGAAGACTGGAAGCACCACCAGGAATGAGAACGTCCAGACAGTCATACTGATGAGTTTGGCCACCCTGGGACGTCTCCATTTGGTTGATTTAATGGGATGAACTACTGCCAGGTAGCGGTCCATGCTCATCACAGTCAAACAGAAAATACTTGTGAATTGGTTAATACCATCTACGGTCATAACCAGCCTGCACAGAAAGGAGCCAAAAGGCCAGTAGGAGATGGCATTCTGGGTGGCCAGGAAGGGTAGGCCCAACATGAAGAGTACATCAGCAACAGCCAAATTCAAGATGTAAATGTTGGTGACAGTTTTCATCTTGGCATAGCGCAAAACCACGTAAATGACCAATGTGTTGCCACTGAGTCCAACTGCACATACAAGGATGTAAAAGATGGGGATCAGGACTTTGTGGATGTATTTGAATGGGAGCTGCTCTGAGAGTGTCCCATTCTCTGTTGTATTTGTCAGCAGCGAGGAGTTCAAATCACTGGAACTGGAGTCCATGTTAAATGCGTTGGAAAAGTATAAAGGATCCATAACTCTTATTCCCCAGTTTTTCTTTTCAGGCTAACAGAGATTAAACTTCATGGGCATCTCATTCCTAAAAAGAGGAAGATAAAAAAAAAAAGATGGGAGGGGAGAGAAAGAAAAAGAAAAAGTGAATTCAAAGATTTACACATCATTTATTTTCCTAACTGTAGTCAGAATTCTGTTTGAATTACACATTCAGCACGTGTGATAACAGCAAGGCCAGGACAAAGGCATCTCATAATGAGAGCCCAAGCGATCATACACAGTTGATGGTTTCTGTTTAATTTTAAGGAGCTGCATGCAGTAACACAGAAAGCATCCCACTGGGAAATGCAAGGGAGATGAGAGAGCGTGATGGCCATCACAATTTACAATCAGAGATAGCAGGTTTCCTGCAGTGAACTGGTCCAAAAACACGCTAACCCAAAACCTACCTCCCCTCTTAGTTTTCTGTCTACAATCTGATATAGAAAACAACTTAGAAAGTAATTTTAGATGACACAGTGAGTACATGTAAGACTATCTGAAAGTACCACCCCGGCTCTAGCATCAAAAGCTTTAAAGTCCAGCTTGGGGCCCTCCTGCTGTTGCTTTGGCCGAGGTGCCTGGAGAGGCTGAGGAGCCAACAGCCCCATCTCACTCCTGCGCAGCTTGGGGGGCTTTCACAACCCTGAGCCAAAGATAGCTTCTGGCTTTGTGCATCTGAAGCACCGCTGCAATGTTTCACAGGTCTCCCTGTTTACATAGAAACAGTCTCAGTTGATACATTCAAACGCCACTTGCTGCCTGGCAGAGCCAATTGAAAGCCTCCAGAGCGCAGGGCAGCTGTGTAGGTGGGGAGACAACTCTCCATAACAACTGACAAAACCCTATCAAAAAAAAAAGAATCAATGAATGCCCAAATGGAAGGCACCACCTCTGGGACCTCTTTTCCACCAGGTCAGGTCATCCACACACAGATGAGAATTCTCTCCAAAGAAAAGGAACAAACTGTTTCTTTTCTCTCTCTCAAGATTTTGCTCCCATTAAGGTTTCTGAATCCCTCTCCTCTCACCTAGAAATGTGCTTTTTAATCTCAGAAGCTCATTTCTTCTACATGAGATCCAGAATGTGGCGGGCAGCCCTCTGAAAGCATGGAGAGCTGAGCTGATTTGATGAAGGCATATGCTTTTTGTCAGACAGTCTGAAAAGGCTTGAAATTTTCTCCAGCTTTGATTCTGCGGCATGCTTGATTCACAAGGATATTTATTAGATCTTTGTCTGAGCATGGTCTAAGTAGATGTTTATAAACCTTCCTGCTGTAAAAGGGTCAAAGCTTCTTGCTATAAAAGAGAAACATAAAAGATACAAGAGTGGTATAAAATGCAGAACACAGCCCAAATTATCTCCCAAGTTTGGGCAGTGTACAGTGGTTAAGGTGCTCATGGAAGATGCACCCAGCAACTTCTGCTCCCATTTATCTGATGGTTGAGTGTCCATAATAATAAAGGAGCTTGAATCTGGCTCCAAGATTAAGCCAGAAACACCCAGCCCACATTGTGCCCATGCTTTCAAGAAAAAGCAATATTCAGCATCATGTAAACTTGCAAGAGTCTTGTTTCTAAGAGGAATGCAAACACCTCCATGAGCTGGTTACTGTGCTTTCTCTTTGGGTGAGAAAAACTGCAGTGGGTGAGAGGAGAAGTCCCTCCAGCTACCAGTAGTGATCATAAATACGCTGTTCTGATTTGGAAACGTGCAGATGGGGAGTAGGTGTTTCACATGCAACTCTGTGGCTAGGAGGAGATGTACCAGAGAAATCAGAAATCCAGGGCGGCAGGGACAGTAAGGCTGAGAGCTGCCAAAGTGCAAACAAATGCTGGCTTGGAGATGGAGATGAGAAATGGTGGGGGAAATCTATGGGTTCTGAATAAGCTGCCATGGTATCTGGGGGGGGGGGGGAGGTCTCGATGCTGTCTGGGACCTTAAAGACTTCCTAATTCCAAAAGGATCAGGAAGAGAAGGTCAGGAAGTGCAGCAGTGTGCAGCTCCCATCCCAGCACTTTTAAAAATGAGGGTGGATGTGCTTCTTCTAACATTGCTTCCTCTTTCCCCACACTGTGTATCACTGAAATAGTTGACTATAGAAATTGCACAGCATCTTCTTCAAGCCTGATGCACCTTCCACCACATTTAGCATTCAAGTTTTAAGGAAGGCAGCAAGAGGAGTTTCTTTTTGTGAATGCCCTTAAATTCCTGCTCACTCTGGAGAGAACCTACTGTACAACATCAGGCTCTTCCGACTGCTGGTAGCCCTGATCACAAAAAAGATTTTCTGGAAGGACCTTTGTACATCTTCCATGGAGGAGTCAGCCCTTCCAGCCTCCTTCAGCAGCAGCTGTGATCGTCTCCCCATTTCTTTGGTATTTGGGGGATCTGCTCTTCATTTATTGTGAACATTAAGCCAGTTATACCATGATGCCATACATCTTAACTGCTGATATCCTGGAATACAGTAGAGCACAACAACAACATAGGAGATTTTCTCCCTGCCTGATAGCTTTCCCCTCAATAGTGCAATTTTGTCTCAACTGATATTGCCACTACAGCAGTTAATGACCATGAACCTCAACACAGGATGACTAAATATAATTAAGAGATGCTGAATGATATCCTGTTTTGGTATTCTTTATTAATGGATTAATAAAAAACACCTCAAGGGGACATTTTCTCACCCAGATTTTTTTCCCTTTAGTGTTTGATCTCCTAGAGGTACTACTGGAAGACTACCCAGGATCACCAAATGGATTCATAACTAGACTTCATAAATGACATGCTTTTTGCTTAAAATATACAAACCAAAGAGGAGAACGGAGCTAAGAACATAGATCCAGAGTAAACGCTGCTATAATGGAACAACTTCTTCTACAGAGCAGTACCCTGAAAGTAGCCAGGTATCCACCTGAACAAGTCTGACTGCCTGTGTCCATATCCAGGAAAAGTGAGAGAGAAGAAATAGCAGAGATGCTATGGTACAGACCACACTATCTGGAATAAAAAGTATTTGCCTTTATGAAAACCTCTCTGTTTAAACAAATATGCTTTTGCCAGGCACAAGAGAATGTCTCCATCTGATAGCATGCATCAGCCTATTAGTGACTGAAGTATCATCAGAACATGAGGAAGAACAAACCTGAATGTCCAAGCGGATCAAGGTTGGAATTCCTCCTGGCTGTGGTTTCAATAGCAAAGCAAAATAATGCTATGAGACGCATTGCATCTAAGACAGAGCTGGGTACATTCAGGATCAAGAAGGAATTACACAAAGAAATCTAATTTGGTGAGTCAAGATTTGATCTTGCTGCCTATTTACCACTGGAATCATAACTCTCTCTTATTCAGCATCAAACATAATTGCTGTGAAGATAATTACAACAACAGAAAGGCAGGCGACTGCTTTCAGATTCAGAATAACAGCAATAGACTAAATAGTAACTCAGATCTGCTTTTAAAGCAGATGGTCTTGGTAGTAACTAGAAGAAACAACTGGGCAAGTATCTAAGAAGTATCTATCCAAGAAGTACCTGACAGTCATGTCTTCCCCCATCCCATAGACTTGGCTGCATCATGTTAATAGAGCTACTTGGTGTAAGAGGAAAAAGCCTCTACTGCTCCTTAGTACTCTGCCCTTTTGGGGGATGAATGTTCATCATCTGCTTTCTTGAATGCAGCCCATGCAGCCCCAGGCTCCACACTTGCAGTGGTGGAGCAGGCAGAGGCCGGGCAGTGAGCTGTAGGTGCACAGACGGGAGGAGGCAGAGGTGGGAGCAGCTCTGAAATCGCCCTGCTACCCTGGGAGAGGGTTGGGAAGGGATACAGCACCGTGCCAAGACCTGCTTCGACTTCTTGCAGCTATGATAACTGTAGCTAACCTGCACAAAGCCAGCATCTCTGAAACAGCTTACCAATCTCATCATCTCATACACAATACTATTGGGTTTCCCTATCTCCCCCCACTGGATTCCACCGTGTTCAATTCAGACAGGAACACCTTCCTTGTTAGTTCTACTGTTTGGTATTTCTCAAGTGTTTATTTCACTCCAAAAAAACAAAAACAAAAACAAAAAAAAAAAAAAACAAAAAAAACAAAACAAAAAAAAAAAAAACAAAAAAAACCCACCAAAATCCAACCCTGGAATGATTGATTTTTCTCTATAGAAGATACATCAAAACAACTTTCTTGCACTAAATTGGTTTTCTGTTTTGACTAGCTGTATAGGTATTAAGCAGAGATAAACTGAAGTCAAAATTGAATAATGTCTTGCCACTTCTAGCACTATCAGTTTCTCTAGGAACTATATTTTCAAATCAGCACCACTTTACTGCTCTCCTCAGCCCAGCATTTCCTACAGTGCTCTGTGGTTAGCCTACCTGATAACTTGATCTTATTTTCAGTTTGCAGATGGCCCATAAAGCAATTTTGCTTTTGCCAAATACTTTTTCTTCCCCAAAAAACAAATTTCAAGCTCTGTTATACTCAGAGATTACTCACTTTTGGCTGAGGGGGTCCTGTCACAGGAACAGCTGTGAAGTCACATGCTGCTGATGTGGCTTCTGGATCAGTTATTTAAGCAGTTGGAGCCAGAGGAAGGTGCACAGCCTGACACCTTCATGTTCACACTTGGGCAGGTGTGTTTGGGGCTGAACTCTGACTGCTGCTCAAATTCCAGGGCAATATTTTTCTTCCCTGCAATCTATTGAAACTGAGCTGATTTCAGAATCAAAGGCAGTTCAGTTAAGGAGCAATTAACCACAGCCTTTACCTGCTCCCAGGCTGAGAGAGAGTTGGAAAGAGCAGAGATGCCTTCAGCGTAGGGACTGCCTCTGGGAGGAGAGCCCTGGGAGCACCTGTCCTTCCAGCAGTCCTGTGCCCCCTCCTGAGTTTGTCGTCTCTGCTTCTATGCTCCCCATGTCAGCAGTGCCAGTGCCAGCCACCAAGCCCCAGCCACAAAGTGCCCCAGGAGCTGAAGTTTCCAACATGGGCACTAACATGCTGATCCCAGCACCCTAAGTAATGGTATGACCCGCAGGCATCCTTACTGCCTGGTATCATTAGAAACCTCTGGTTTATCTTTACAAGTGTGCAAGGTCAAAACACCTGAGCAGGGGTGTTCTTTCCCTGCTTTTCAGTGCAAAGGTCTGGGCAGTGTAAGAACAAGCTGTGCCTATGACTGCGGATGCTGGAAGCTGCTATCAGACACCGAGGCACTGGGACACAGCGTTGCTCCCAACTCTGACTGATGATGACTCCCAGGACTCCACTCTGACCTTGACTGTCAGCCTCTCAGTGACATCCCAGAGCACTCTTGACCCCTCCTGCTATTCTCTCTTTTATCATTAAGGAGAATCACACATTCGCAATAGCTTCCCACAGCTTTCTGTGCCACATCCTGTTATGTGCCTGGCTGAGAGCACTCAAGGCTATGCAGCTTTTTGGGTCACAGTGGGGTTCAAGCAGCGCTAGGTAGTGTGTCAGGCTGTCTCTGAGCATCCCGACCGCTGGTGCCTTTCAAGCAGCCGCTTTAGAGCACCGCTAAGGATTGTCTGCTTCAAACACTGCATCTCTCCATCCCTCCAACCGGGATGGGGCCGCTCCGCTCTCCAGCAGCAAAAGCCCCGTGCGGAGGGCAGACTCGGGATCGCTGCTTGCTTCGGAAGGAGCTGCAAATGAAACCGAGCGCTCCGGTTCTTCTTTCATCCCAGAGAGCCCAAAAGCGAGGTGCGCTATGCAAAGCCCCCTCCTGTCCTGTCCCCATCCCTTCCTGACTTTCCCATCCCTTTCGGCGCCCCCAGCCGCTTTCCCTGCCCCCATTCTCCCCCGATAACGATTACCTGCAGCTGCAGGGAGTGCTGTCCGCCGGGTCCGGAGCCGCTCCGCTCCCCCGGCGCTGCCGCGCTGCTCCAGTTGCAGCCGCCCGGGCCGCTCCCCGCTCCGGGAGCGCACCCCGAGCTCCGCCGCTTCTCACCCCCCCCCCCCTCCCCTGGCGGCGGGCGGGGACGGCGGCCGCTCCCCCGGGGAGGAGAGACGGGGCTCCGGGCCGGGGCTGGAAGGAGGGAGGGAACGGAATAGCGGCAGGGGAGGGTGCTACAGCCCGGGAGGAGGCAGCCTGAGGCCGCCCCCGCTGCAGAAAGTTGGGCTGGAGGTAGGGAGCCGTCGGGATGCTCCGCGCTCTCCGCGCTCTCCCCGCATACCCGTACTTCCTCCCCGAGCTCCTTTACCTGGCTGCGCCTCCCCTGTTGCTCCATCCTTCGGCCCCTGAGAGCCTGCAGCCCCCCGGCACGGGTGAGGGCTCTGCGCTTTGCGGGGGAAGCTGGGAGGGGCTGGCAGCACCCACGCCGTGCCGACAGAGAAAGGGCACCAAAGGAGAGCTGCATTTCCTCTCCCGATTTAATTCTCTCCCAGTTCCGAGAAGTGCTTTTAAAGACTCCCGCAGGCTCATTTGGAGCGAGCCCCCTCCCAGGGCGCAGGGCACTCGCAGCTGCTCCCCCGAGCGCACAGCACCTGACCGTGCTCGCTCCTTGTGGGGCAATGAGAGGGGACCGTCGTGTTCGTCACCTTTGTTTTATACGCCTGTCCCCGAGCACGGAGCGTGGGGCAGGCTGAGCGACAGGATCGCGGCCAGCACCCTGCAAGAGCTTCAGTCCTACGTGGGGGTTTGGAATCTCACATCGCCAGCTAGCAGAAAGATGCAGGGCTCGGTATGCAGGCTGTCAGGCTAAACTTGGTGCTTGCTTTACTCCCTCCCAAACTCCCACTGACTTCACTGGGGTTCCGCTGAGATATTTTGTTCTTTGAATGCAACAAGTGAATTCGAGCTGTATTCCACCCTCTCCCTTCACTGTTACACATGTGAACACCCACAGTGGTGCCATCCAGAGCTCAGCCTGTCCCCTTGCACATGTTATGGGGTTAGAGCAACAGCTGTGCTCCCTGCAAACCTGGGGCTCCCAGCCCTGCCAACAGCTCCTGCTGTCATCAGCATGCACGGGATGTCGTGCTTCGTAATAATGTATATGATCTTAATCCACCGCTGAGGCTTTTCAATTAGAGATCTGTGATTGAGTCAGATGTGTGAATGCAAAAAAGAGAGGAGAAAGCTGCTTTTGGCATGTCACTTTCTAATTCAATCTGCTGATGTATTTATGGTCATGTATTGCTAAATTGAACTAAGACTCCAGTCTGCTCTTGCCATGACAATGGGGAGAATCATCTGATAAAAATAGACTTGGGATGATAAACAGAAGAGGAGATTTTGATTACCTTCTTTGAAAATGTGCCAAGCAAAATGCGATACAATAGCCCCACTGTGAATATCAGCTTGAATCAAAATAGGGCTAATTTAATGAATTTCCCTCATATATTTTATTAGCATTTTATTAGCATTTGTGACACAAAAAAAAAAGTTGCCGAGAAAACATGAAAGTCACCAACTGTCCCCGATGAAAACAGCTGCCTTTGCACCTTGCCAGCAGTATTCCTAGCAGGATCTGCGCTGTGACAGAGAAAGTTTCCAAAAGCTCTCATTGCTTATGGAATTCTTTACCCACTTGAGACAATGGCAACACTGTATTTCTGAACCAAAGAAGGCAGCACAAGGGCTATCTGTGAACATTACCTGTTGTCATGCTTTCAGTGGCTGATGGCCCCACTCAGAGACCAAAGTTCAGCGATGCCAGACCTATAAACATGGGGAGAAAAATAGCTCCTGGCACAAAAATATGGGTGCACACAGGACTGGGCTGCCCTAGCTGAAACTCAAATCACATTATTATTATTTTTTCCTCGTCTTTCTGCAAAAATACCTCCCAGATAGCCATGATATGGATACAAGCCTATTTATTTAGCTGTTCCTTGTCGCATACCAAAGTTCAGTGTCATAACGTGATCCCTCAACACTTCTTTTCCAACTGTGATCTTGAGTGATGATGAAACTGCTGACAAATGGTTGTACTACATTTTAAAACGGTGTCTTCTTGTAACACGAAGGAGGTGACAGCTCCAGAGGAGCTGCAGGGACAGGTTGCACGGGAAGCTCCTCCTGCACCTTTGGAACCAGCTTGTCAAAATTCAGCTGAAGCAGAAAAGATGAGTTGTGATCGATATTTTTAGAAGGAAGAACTGCTGGAGAGCTCGTGTCAGCAGCCGCTCCTGTTGAACCTGGCAGTGAGGAACAGAGACTGATTGCTGCCGAGGGGGAAATTATCTGTGCATAAGACACCCCAGCATTAGACTTGGGTCCAGAACTCAGAACTGAATTAGATGGAGGTGTTGAAACAGAAGACTTGGGGCTGGATTGCCTCTGGTTGGAAGAACCATGGCAGCACAATAGTAATGTCTTCCAAACTCAGAGAACAGAGGAAGTGAGAGGGAACAGAATGTGTTTTACTCCCAGTTCATTTCTGGAGCCACTGTACTAAAAGTGATTGTATGTTAAGGATCTGTCCCATGGTGAGGAGAAAAGTATGTTCTTGGCTAAGTGACCCATCCTAACTCATCCATTCCTCACCCCCACAAGACTCCCCAGAGCATGGGACAGTGGAGCTGCAGTGGGGCAATCTGCAACACCAGGAGTTGTGGGGAATGAAGCTGTGGCTCCTAAGACTCAATTTGCCTCAGCCTGAAGGCTAAGATATATTTTCCTCTGAGGATTCTAAGATTTTTAAATATGTATATATTTATTTTCTTAATATTGTCAGTTTTGAGGAAAAGGACATGCATGAGAATTGGAAGGAGGCCATCAAGCCTATGGGGTGAGAATGGCTGCTCTTTGAGTTTTCAAACCCAGCTGAGATTTGGGCTATAATTTAGTCCTGAGCTATTCATGTTACCATAGAAATAGATGGATCCATTTTGTGCCATTTGCTGTTCAAAGCTTCAGACTACACAGTCTGCAGAAGCCCATCCATCACTTCTCCAACCTGAGGCCACAGCCATGGGGTTGAGTTTTCAATCTCTTCTCCCAGAAACTCCACTTGCAGCAGAGATTTGTCTTTCTTTCTTTTGGTGATTGGTTTGCGTTCAGCTTAAACACTTTAAAGCTTGCAGAAAATGCTCAGCTTCTGACTGGAAGACAGTTACTCCATTCAATTACGGTCATGGTTTGGCTGGCTGAAGCCAAATGTTTTCACTTTGCCTGCAGAATATGCTGTGAAAAGCCAAGCAGTGGGAATCACAGGGAGGTTGAGGTGTTTTCTCTCCTCTTTGTTGTTCTCCTTATGAGGAAGAAAAATCAATGGCTTTCAAATCAGCGCATTAAAAATCTCTCAAATGGGCTGTAATTACAGGCCCATCTGTTGCTGAATTGTTGAATTGCCTGTGGCAGAGATGCATAAAGATCTGCCTGGTTGGTCACTGCTGAGCAGCTCAGGATATCCCCCACAGTGGCAGTGCACCCATGGATGGCTCTGACTTTTGCAAGTGCTCTTGCAGGAAAAAACATGGGCCAAGGGGTTGACCTTGCTCTTCCTCAAGTGTTTTTTTAACCAATAATTGCAGTTGATGAACTGCCCCTGTTTCTGGCCTGACTGGCTGTTATGTGAATCACTTTTTGCCCAGTTCATTGATGATGAACTTCATTGGTGACCTTGGTTGAAGAGACCATGGTTTTATGTATTGGTGTCATGCACTGTAATTCCCCACCACTCCTGTCCCTCCCCCTTCTGTCCTTTATACAGTCCTCTCCAATGGCACAAGAGGTACTGGCAGACAGGAAGAGTTCTGGAGCTCTGATTTTCTAATCTTCTGTGATTGGGGGGTTTTTAGAGATGAAAAATCAATTTAAATAACGTTGTCTTCATTTCTCTTCTCTGTAGTCTTTAACTGGCATCCTAGAAGAGCCTCTCAGACAACTGAAGAGAATTTCAACACCATATTGAAATGAAGAAGAAAATGGCAAGATTTTCAGCTGCAAAGCAAATCTTTTCCAAAGAATCACTAGGTTCCATCAAATGAATGACACAGGAAAAATATTAGAGGTGACCAGTGTTTGAAAGCAGAATATGTATAAAAAGATGTTTATATGTGCAATTTTTTCCTGTTTTAAACCAGTGTACTTGTCTGTATTGAGTTCGGCACTGTTTTCAGAGATTCACTCTGAAAGACTATAATAAGACATGAGTAGATGCATTTTCATTTAATTAACAGACTTTGTTTTCAGAGAGATGAGGTTCTATGCAGTATATTTTCTTCAGAATGTGACTTTCTTCCATTGACCTTGTGCATGCATCTGTTAGGAGAAATGGAAGTTTGTATTTCTGAAAACCAGGTGATTTACAGCTCTGTAACTCAGGTGAAGAAATTTCTCTGCATTCTGGTGATTCTCTGAGTTATGCACTTGATCCTTAGGCAACATTTCTGTAAAAGGTTCTATTACTTGGCATTACATGACCATCCTAAAGAAGTGACAGAACCACACAAAACACTCCAGGAGCCCAGATCTCTCAGAACCAGACTGATTTACCCTGAATCTTGCTTATCTTCTAACAGTGCAATGAAGAGAACCTCATTATTAATTATTAGGAAGCATTTAACCCTTTATAGGTATCTTCTAAGGAAAGTTCACTACATTTCTTCACAGTTGCCCTGCATAAATATCCTCCTCCTCTAATCAAGTCAGTGCTACTGAGGTGCTCAGAACTGAAATGGAGATTGCACTTGTTCTGTCATTTTCAGAAATTTGCTTTGTTGTGTGAGTGGAGCTGATGAAGTTCAATAGGTGTCTTGTGCTCTCCGTGGTTTGCACTGCTGTGATTGTGAATGGGGAGCAAAGTGATGAGGTAACTTAATGATTCATTGTTCATTTTGTAGTTATTAATGGGATCAACATCCGGCATCTCGAGGCTCCAAACTTGTTTGGTTTCTGCCAGATTCCTCATTATGCACAGGTAAACACAGGCAAATCATTTAATAGAACAGTCTTTATTAAATAAGGAGAGAAGCGCTGTTAAATCGAGAGCTCCTGAGCCCTAATAACAAATATTTACAAGGCTGGAGAGTTGTTGCAGGATTGAAAGCAGTAAATGGCAACAATGTGGTAAAATCAGGCAGCTGGTAAAGTATGCTTTAAGTTTAGATCCAGAACATGCTGCTCTCTCCGAGGAGCAGGGTGGGAAGGTGATCCTTTGGCTTCCAAGTGTTCTCCAATGAAAACTCACAGACTCTAGAAGCAACAAGATTCTCTAGTGTGTGATATAACCACAAGATTTCTGATGACCAAAAATGTTTTTTTTCCCTTAATGGTAGAGCCAGAAAAACATGCAAGGTTTGGACTTTTGTTCTTGTTTCAGTGCAGACCAGGAAGGTTTTCCCATACTCCCAACAACTGTCATAGGCATATTCATACCTCAACCAGCCACTCATGCAGGCTCTCATTTGGGGAATTCCTCATGGGGGAACAAGACTGTAAGTCCCAAGCCTACAATAAAATCTGTAGTGTAATACAATTCAGGCTGTTTTTTTTTTCTACATGGATCCTTTCTCATGGTCTCTGTTAGCACTTTTGCCATCTTCTAATGGAAATGACATGGAGCTTTAGGTCCCGTTAAGAAATTAAGTCTGCAGACAAATTCACTTCCATTTATTGCTTTGCTTCTAATGAGAAGCAGACACACACACACACAAAAAGAAATATTAAAAACACTCCCGATGCGCATGTGCCAATTTGTGGAACATAATAGCCTCATTATTAAATTCAACAGTCAAATTTGCTTCAGTGCCGAACTGAGCCTGTCTCATTAGCAGACTCTCTATTGCTAGTAAGTGTTTAGTTAATGGGCAGAATACATCTCCTTGGATTCCTCCTGGCACTTTGCATGCCTTGCCGTACGAAGAACAAACATTACACTGTTGTGTCTTTTTTTTTTTTTTAATCAACTACAATGTCTTGTGCTTAAAATATTTTAATTCCCCCTTTAAAAATGCCCTATCAATACTTATTCAATTCCTCTCCTCAGGGAGGCTCGTGCCCGTTTTGCTGGCACAGTTTGTTCTGCAAAGCGTGGAGTGTGAGTTGATAACAATGCTGGAAAAGCAGCGCTGATAGCTTTCCTCACACGCAGAACAAACGCCAGATGTTTGCTGAAATACACGCGATGACAGTGACCAACAGGTTTCACTTCAGTGTTTGGAGTTTGTAGGACACCACGGGTTTTGAGACCAGCATTTAGAACAGATCTATTTTCTTTTTATTTACTTCTTCTCCACTCAAAATGTTTGCTTCTTGTTAAATTGCAAAGTGATATCGATTTCTGTTGAGGTTTTGTTTTGATGCTTGCAGTGAAACCTCATTCCCACAGCTCTGGTTTCGCCTCTTTATTTTCTGCTTCGGGGAATTGCAAATGTTCTCATCTGAGAAACTTAGAGATAAAACTTGGTAAAGAGGAATGCATTTGCTAATTCAATGCCACATTTCAAACTGCGACTGAGGCTGGTCAATTTTCAATGGCATTTTTGGGGAGGAACAACTCACCTCCCAAAGTACTTCAAACACACATGGCTGCGTTACCTGTGATTTCCACTATTACTAATGCACAAGAGAGAAAGGGCTTAATTCTGGTGTTCAGAATATTTCTGATCAGGCTGCAGCAAACTCAGAATATTTCTTTCCTCCCATGCTGATAACCAGCCTTGGCAGATGGATTCAAGTGTTTGGAAAACCAGTTGAGGGAAACTGAAAAACAAACTCAGTCATGGAAAACAGAACCTGCACACACCAAAAGGTTTGATAGGCAGAGGACTGATCTTTAAGTGACTGATTATAATTTCCACTGAAATGTAGCAGATGGAGAAGTGCAATACATTTATTTTGCCAGGTTTGTGCCCGTTGTGAAGCATCCACCTCGTCAGTTTTAGTAATCACTCCACTGAGTAACCAAGATTTGAAGTGATTACTAAAAACTGTTCAGTTAGTGAACTTCAGTGAGATCTCTGCTCTCTTCAGAAGAAAATGTGTGTGGCTACATCATTTACCCTGCACCAAAATGGAAACCAGCCAGAGCTTGTCACTGGGACTCATGGGTCCAGCTGGTAGACACGAGCAAAACAGGGCACATGCAATCAGGAAGTGTTAGCTAGAGCTGAGATTTGATCATGATGGGTTGATTGGATACTGTTTGCTGTGAACACACTGTCCTCCTTTCATTTTACGACAGTCTGCAGGCAGTTCTCAGCCTGCCTTACCTTGTAGTACAAGCCTTACAAGGTTTGATTTCTGTGGATTGGAAATGCTGTATACATGCCAAATATTATGATTAGTACAATCATTTGCACTGAAGAGAGCCTTAATGAAAACATGAAGAGCCATGACCTTAAAGCAAATTATTTGGGCTGTAGTAATACAGATGTACACGCGGAGAGCTCTCAGCCTTCACCTCTGCCTGAATGCAAATATAACACTTATTATTTCCCTGACAGTGGATGAACAAGCTGCTGTAAGACTGCAACACATCCTGGCTCTTGCTTGGGTAATTATATGTAATTTTTAATTTGTATTTGTTTGCTGTGGAGCCTCAGCAACATGCTTGAAGCTTCAACCATGTGTAATTCCTGCTACCTTATACCATACTTGTTTAGAAGTCCCCCAGAAATGAGCCCTCCAGCTCAGAGGCCAGGGTGAAAGGAATGCAGAGCAGGATGAAAGCTGCTCTTTGCATAGAAACCTGCAGTTTTTACCCTCAAAACCTCTTTCATTTGCAGGTATAATGCTCTGTAACGTAACAGATATTTCACACTGCGATACGATGGGCAGCACTGCCCTAGGGCTCAAGGTACAGCCTTAAACAAGAACTAAATTGACTTTGTGGCAGATGCGAGCATCTAGAGGAGGACATATCTTTCCTATGACCTCCTTTAAAGTTTATTAGTTTTATTTTGCTCTTTCTCTTCTTCAGCTTTATACTAGTAAAACTTCCCCCGGCTGCTATGCTTGAGAAGTAAAGTAGCTTTTCCCTTTAATAGAAAAGAATTGCTCTTGGCCAGTAGGACTTCATGTCAGAGAGGTTTAATTTGTGGCTATAACATCCTCTATTAGACCATGGAGGTTCATAACTTACATAAGAAGTTTGTCTTCTTCTCTATGTTCCCTTCTTATTATAGCATTCCACTGAAGGCTCCTTAGTTGGTAATTTTACCACTGCTTATCTTGGTGTAGTTCTTAACAGATTTTTTTCTTCCCTTCTCAGAACAAATGTCAGAAACAAGATGACAGATTTCCCAGCGAGATTCACATGCAGTCAAGGCAACAATTTCTTGTAAAATAGTGTTTTCTTTAAATTCTCTGTTTGCAACCTTCAACAGGGTATTTCATCAAGTGACGGTGGACTTACAATAGTAATTTTACTTGCCTATTTTAGACAACATTCCCACTCTGCTCTGATAACATCTGCTCCTTCTCAGGAGCATGCAATCACGATAAGCTTACTGAGTGCTGCAACTTCTACCAACAACTGCTTTCCATCACTCTTTGGAAGTCAAGATATGAACAAGTCAGGATATTATTTCTGTATCCAGACTTTGCATGTAGCCTCTACTTACACTTCTTTATTTTCTGAAGCTGAGGACACAACGTAGAAGCCTTTGTGGCTCTCAGCATGTCAGGATCCAAATATCTCAGTGCTATTTACACGTCTGGCCTAATATCCTTCTCTTTGACAGATGGGGAAATTACAAAGCATGGGGTAAATTAATTTCTCTCTCGAAAGACACACAAGAATTTTGTGACTTAATACTGCTTTCACATTCCCCTTGGTTAGAAATTAGAGAGAAGAAACCCTAATAGAGCATTTTGCATATGCAGATGAAATGCTGTGTAAAACTGCATTGAGAATTCTGGAATTATTCTAACTACAAAGATTTTATAAATACAGGCAATGTATTCCCATTGTATTTCCTGTAAAGACAGAAAACATGATGATTTTTTTGTTGCTTGTTTCTGTTTGTCTCTCTGGTGTCTTTGTAGGTACATTTCATGACAACACCACCTCACTATCAATCATTTTTTCCTAAGATTTTCAAACACAGAAAGAAAGAGCTCTGAAATATTTTTAATGTTTTTAGCTCTCTCAAATTCAAGAATCAATACTCTCCCAGCTTCCATTTGTTCTACCTGCTCTTTCTCTCTCTTTGGCTCTCAGGTATCACACTTCCAATCTGGGAATCTTTTCTCTCCACTGGAATGAGGTTGCATCTGAAAGCAACTGGTATCTGTGTTCCACCCAGAGTCCTCTGCACGCCACTGCATCAGGGAAGCGAGTGGAGCTCTTGACACTTATTGACTTTCTTCTTGTTGTTCCATATCAGATCTATCTTCCTCCTTCCTTCATTTCAATTATAGCCTGCATCAAAAGTCTCTCTGCACCGCAGCCACTAAGCTAGCAAACCAACCTATTCTAATGCTAACTCAATTTTCTTAATGTCAGGTTGCAGATAATCACACTGAAGTTCATACTGAGATTCCAGCTTGCTGGATGACTGAAAGTGAAAATCAGCTGATGGAAATAGGGCTGCACTCACTTTCTCCACCTTCAGCCTGGACAGATGTTTGACAGCCACAATTATTACCTGTATCACTTTTCTTCCTGGCTTTTATTTGGTATATTGACGAGCTGGATTGGATTTGGAGGGGGGCAGGGAGACAAAGTGGAGCCACAAGAAGAAATCCATTTGATCACCTGAGTCACCATCCTCCACTGTTCCCAAAGCCCTATCAGCCCAGCTCTGAGTCTATAGCAAGGCAGAAGGAAAGTTCACACCAAAGGATACAGAACCAGGGAGAGTCAGACTTTTCAGAGTACAAAAGGCCATCATGATTATCCAGATTATAGTGACACAAAGCAAGGAGATACCCCAAACAACACCAACGAGCCGTCTCAACTTAAAACTGCCTACTGCTGGAGAACCCACGTCCCCTTTGGCAGCTCAGTGGACAAGGATCACCAATCACAGTATGAACCTGTGCCTTGTTCTTGTCCTGAGCTTCAGCTTCCATAGTGCTGACACACATCTGGGTTTGGTATTTGCAAAGCTTTGTACTGGGATGAATAAAATATTCGAGATCCACAAGCTCTCTCTGTGCCACAAAAGAACAGACTGTGATATTCTATGGATACTCCAGTTATAACAGCTAATATTTAATTCATCCAGTGTAGTCAGTGGTATAAGAATATCCCATTGGTTATTTTTATAAGCACTTTGTCCATTCTAAATTTAAAAATCCTGTGTTCAATATTTTCCAATACTTCCATCCCATTATCCCCTAGTGATATCCTATTACATTATTTCATCCCAGTTCTCTCTCATTTGGGTCATTTTTTGC